CATCTCCCTCAGGCCTACCTCAGGTGAGTTCATGGGGCACCCTAACCCAGCTTGAAGCTTCCCGCATTTCTACATGAAGGGCTTGGATCTTCTCATCAGTTGGAGGACAGGAACGAGCTCGCACACATACGCGCGGCGTCAGGAAGCGGGCGGCGCGAGCGCGGACACAGGCATCACCCTCTACGCGGACGACATCACGGAACGACCATCCCACGGAGTGGGCCCGAACCATGTGGAGGAGGAGGGGAGGCACGGCATCTCACAGCTCTTGCACAGGCTAGCAGCAGAAAGCCGGCGTCTTCCCTGAACAACATAGGCGCGGGGCCCAACGAGAGCAAGCGGGCCGCCTTGGCCCGGATATTTGGCAGGGGATGCATAGCACAGCGCCGTCCCATCCACGCTGGTACTCTTTGCCTTTCAGGTTTTTTTTGGCGTTACATGCGCATCCTCGGCGGTTGGCTGACGGCGCAGGGCTCGCTGCAAGCGGAGAGAGGAAAAAGACCGCGGGCGGGCCGCTCGGGGCCGGGCCTCATCTCACACATCTCGGCACAAGACGCCCCTCGCAGCGTGAAGAGGATGGCCATTCTCTCCCATGCCCAGGGGGCGCTTCTGTCGGGGGTGGAGGGTCGGGCGCCAGGTAGGAGCTACACATCGGCCTGCGACAGGGCCATGACGAGGGCAATGCGTAGAGGGCCGGGGGCCACCGGCACCGAGGACCACAACGGGGCACTCTGGAGGTGGAGCTCTCAGAAGGTCTGGGACTACGGGCAGACCCCCCCCCCATTGCCGAGGAATTCCGTTTCCGTCGGCACCAGTCCTGGATAAGATATCCCAGCGCACATAGACAAGCACCAGCAAGTATCCGAGGCACCTTGAATGACGCACCTAGCATGAACCCTGATTGGACGACCCACGAGAAGGCTAGCCCCCGGGCCCGACAGATCCTTGAGGACCGCCAGTTCGCCAGAACCCAATCCAAGGAGCTTGCAGACTCGATTCCAGAGGACTTCCCGTTCCTGGGACGATTCTATACTAATCATTACGACGATTGGGCGACGATCGACCTCACCATCATCAGGGCCACGTATTTTTGGTGAGAAATATATTAACAAATGCGCTCCCCACGAGTACCTTGCAGGCTCCTAGTGCGATGGCGGCGGGGGAGGAGGAGGAGATCGAGGGGCTCGGTGAGTTTCGCTGCAACCTGAGGAACCCAGACGGGATCACTTGCGGCGACTCCTTCGGTAGTACGAAGGCCTTTCTTTCACGCGCGGGCTGAGTTCGTGACATCCGCAATGAAGCGGCCTCACTCACGGCCACGAATCAGCGTTTCAGGCGTCTCCAGGTTCTAGGTACACGGGAAAACGCACAACGACACGCGATGAGACCGTATGCCCACAACCGATGTGCTCTCGGACGTAGCAGTTACATTGCAGCAGAAGTGATCCAGCGTTTCTCTATGGACTGCCCAGCACGCAGCTACGCGGCTCAAGATCTCGCACATCTTCAATTGCACATAAGTTCTCATTGCGTGCTGGGCGACCCACAGCTTCCCAGCACCCAGCTCCGACGGCGAGAAGGGCGACGCCTCGTGCACGGATCTAGACGGGCTGCTCAATAGGCACAAGCGCCGAGCCAGAGGAGCCAGGAGGGCCATGCAGAAAGAAGCAAAACTCAGGGTAAGTGGCGGACGCCGCCGAGGACGGCCTCCAGTTTGCAGAGGGGGCCCTTCGGGCTCGCGATATGCAGTCGGCCGTCTCGACCCTGCTCAAGATGGCGCACATGCACGCGCGAGTGCTCTGGGATATGGCGGAGACGGAGACGGGGCGCTTCTTTATCCCCACGGCGGGCCCCATGATCGACGCGGGGCGGGGCGCGGGGAAGCAGCGCGCAGACTCGGCGGCGAAGCCCCTACCAGGGCCACCACGTTCGTACATCGCGCGAGGCGTGTCCACGTCGATGGCAGACTCGGAGAAGCCGATGCAGGGGGGGGCCCAGGCGGAGGCGGCATGGGCCCTCTTCTTCGAGAAACGCGTCTTGGGCAGCTCGGCGTCGGAGCCAGGCTCGCTGACCAGGCACTTCCGATTGCAGAAGGGCTACAACGAGGAGTGCACCAGAACGCAGTTCGCCCACGCGAGCGAGGCGACCGCGCCCATCTCGGCTGGCGCCCAAGGTCTGCCGTCAGAGTGGACACTGAGCAAGCTGGAGCTCGAGCAGGCAATGATCCAGCTGGAGCAGGCTCAAGCTCGGCACCGCCCCGCAGGGGCACCTACAGGCGATGGCGCAGAGGCTAACCGACAAGATGAAGACGGGCAGCTACAGCAGGAGCATGGGGAGAGGCCCCTTCCTGGAGCCTTGGGGCCCGAACCCTGGGAACTTCGGCGAGCTACCCTTTCGGCGCGGATTCAGGCGCGTGAACGACTTCAAAACATCGACACATAACGGAACGGGCGACCCACTCATAGTCTGGAGTTCGCTAACTAGCTATTCGATGGAGCGTCGCGCACCGGAGGATGGGCTGGTCTTTGACCCATGTGACATATGGGCTTCAAGGTAAGGAGACGGAACCCCTCGTCTCACTTGCTGCTGATGGGGCACTACATCGACATCTTCTCTTACTCGCCACTACATATGACGACACACGGTCAATTGGGTTGCACGACTTTATACATGCACCGGTTTTCTCACGGCGCCTGGACTTTCACCAGCTCAAGTTCGAGAGCACCGACCTCGACGGAATCGGCCCCACCAGACAATATCCCAACGGGGGCCACGCCGTTCGCGACAGGAACAGGCACACCTATAACCCCGTCCTCTTCGCCTCCCCCGCTTTGCCGACCTGGCGCCCTGGTGCTCCTGGCCTGGCCTGCGTGGTCCTGGGAAGTGCGACCGCGCGCCTAATCCATGGATCGCTAATCCATGTTTGCGCGCCCCCGCAAGATCGAGGTCGGTTCGGGGAGTCGTAGAAGAATTAGCCTGACGAAGGACCCAACCATATGCAGGTGTGAGTACCGAAATTGTGATTCATTTTTTCGGTGGCGATCCCTACGAGGCAACGAACCGCGCTTGGGGCGTGCCGAAATGAGTGGCGCGGTACACAACGCGAACGAAAACGATTGATCTGAGTACGTAGGGAGACTGAGCGCGCGCGAATCTGAGCGCGAGTGCGTCTGACTGTGAATGACTCTGCGCGC